ATCTTTGTATGTCATGATCTGCCTGTAATGCATGCAAAACAAAACCTTTCACTGTACCTAGGTACATGTGACAATAATAAATCAAATCAAAATCAGACAAGGAATATTCTGTCATTTAATCTTTGTGTCTTGTAGACATTGGAAGGGGAGACAGGAGGTGATTTGCCCACTGCAGAATTCCCAGCCTCTGAACTGCTTTCGTAGCACACTACATACACATGTTCCTAACTTATATCTTTGTAAGCCATTCAGACCCTCAAGTCTTCTCTTCATTTTAGAATCCATGTTTTCATCTACCGTCAATGGCCATTCATTCCCACACCTGACCAGAATCTCTGTACTGCTTTAAAAACATTTCAATGACCCTGCCTCTACCATTTTGTGAAGCAGAGTTCCAAAGTCTCTCAACCCACCGGGGTTGGGGGGGAGGGGAGGAGAAATACGTTATCCTTTTCTCTGTCCTAGAAAGGCCATCCCTAATTTTAAAACAGTGTCCCATGGTCCTGGACTGACCCACAACACACAATATCCTTTCCACATCCAACCCACCAAGACCTTTTTTAGGGTCTTTGTATATTTGAATTAACTCCATTCCTGAATAGAGGTGACTTAAGTCACGCCAATACATCAATTAAGTCACCCCTCAAGAACAAGCCCACTGTGTCCAACCTTTCCTCACAAGCTAATCCAGTCATTCCAAGTTGAATATAGTAAACCTCCTCTGAACTGCCTCCAAAACACTTACATATTTTGTTAAGCAATGGGTCCAAAACCGTATTCGAGATGTGATCTCACCAATACCCTATATAACTGAAGCATAACGTGCATACTTTTATATTCACTTTGTCTCCTAAAGGATGACATTCCTCTCATCTTAATTACTTACTGTACCTGCTGACTTTTTCCGATGTGTTGGAACATCTTGATCTGTCTGCACCTTGGAATTCTGCAATCATTCTTCATTTGGGTAATACTTTTTTCCATTTTTCCATTCTTCCACCCAAAAATAACAACTGTGTATTTTTTCTCATACTTCATCTGCCAGATTTTTGCCCGCTCACTTGACATACCTATTTGTCTGCTACCTCTTATGTCCTCTTCAAAACTTACTTTCCTACTTTTTGTGAATTTAACTACCATGCAATAGCATATCTCATCTAAATTTTTAAAAAACTTTTTCTGTTTAACCTATTCATCTAATCAACTTGTTCAGAGATGTTACTACACACCTCTGGAGCAAGTGGGACTTGAAGCTGGGCCTTCTGGTCCAGTGTTTGGACTCTACCACTGTGCCAGAAGAGGGCCAGTATCTCTCCTCTAAGCCCTTGATATAAATTGTTAAAAGCTGAGGCTCCACCAGAGACCCATTGACACGGGGTGTGGGGGGGGAACACTTATGCATACTCTGTTTTCTGCGAGCCAGCTAATGTTTTATTCATGTTAACGTGTTATCCCCTAAGTAATCCTGTCACATTGCAGATTATAGACAACAAGGTGCAGGGCTGGATGAACACAGCAGGCCAAGCAGCATCATAGGAGCAGAGAGGCTGATGTTTCGGGCCTAGACCCTTCATCAAAAAAGGCTGCTTGGCCTGCTGTGTTCATCCAGCCCTGCACCTTGTTGTCTCGGATTCTCCAGCATCTGCAGTTCCTTCTATCTCACATTGCAGATTATAACCTGCTTTTTGGTTGGGTCCAGAACTTGCTACTCTCAGATTATCTCAAAGCATTGTATAAATTCTGCGCCAAGGCTACCATTATCAGTCTGATTTTCGAAGTTTATGTAGATTAAAATTGCCTCTGACTATTGCCATCCTGTTTTCACAACTTTGTCCCACATTGTGGTTTACTTTTATGGGGCATATAGACCATTGCTCTACTAATGACCTGCTTTCCTTTTATTATTCCTCATTTGCACCAAAACCAATTCTACGTTCTGATCTCCTGAACCAATGCCATCTCTAACTATTTCACCAATGCCATCTTTGATTAACAGTGCTACCCCTCCAACTTTTTTTTAATCAAGTTTCCTATTCTTCGTGACTGCCGTATACTCCTCCATGTTCATAGTCATCCTGCAACAATGCCTCCATATTGTTATCAGATCCTACTTATTTGCTTCAATATGTGCTATCAGTTTGTTTACTTTTTGTGTATGTTACGCACATTCAGGTACAGAGCCCCTGGTTTCACCTTTTTGTTACCTTTGTAACATCTAGTCATGCTCCTTCTGTATTCCTAGGTTATTATTTTCAATGTACCTTCCTGCCAATCTCTGATCTTCATTTCTGTTGTGTATTTAATAAGTGTGGTGGACTGTCACTTTAAAAATCATCAGTCATTTCGGGCAGAAACCATCTTAGACTAACCTTTTCTGTCTGTAGAGTGAACACCTTTAATACAATTCTCACTGTTGTTAACCACTTTAGCCTCTTGGTTCTTCTTGAAATGTAACAATTTCCCATATTGGCATTTTGCTTCCCAACCTCTACCCCTTTGATTTACTATATCTACCCAACCTTGATCTGCCAACCCATTGGTAGTTTAAAGTGCTATTTACGTCTCTATTTTACATGGCTTTCTGAAAGGTTGGTCCCATCATGGTTCAGGTCCAGAATGTCTCCACAGTACAGCCCCCACTTTCCCCAGTATTAATGCTGATTATTTGGCACAAATTGGAACCTACCTCTCCTTTTACCAGTCTTTGAGTCACATATTCATTACACTTGTGTTCTGTCTGCATTCATTTAATAATCCAGAGATTGTTAACTTTAAGGTTCTGTTCTAAGCCTAGCCCCTCATACTATGTCATTGTACCAATGTGGACCGCCATAACTGGGTCTCCCCCTCCCTCCCTTGCACTCTACGTTTCTAGTCAGCCATGAATAGGCAATACAACCTTGTGGACTCATGCTTTTAGCTAGATGGAAAAGTCTATTTCTCCTTACTTTTATTATCCCCGACTACAACTGCATGCAATTTCTCTCCCCAACTTGAATGATGTCCTGAATCACAATGCAATATTCAACTAGCTCTTCCACCCTGCAGCCCTCACACCTATCCAAACAAGCAGAAAGAGCCTTGACCCAGTTGAAGAATCGAAAAGGCTGAGGCAACTGTACCCCTCCCCTGACGGTCCCCATCTCGTTCCTTTATAGCTGGTGCAATTCACTCTCTGGTCAATGGTAACCCACAGGATGTTGGTAGTGGAAAATTAAGCAGTGGTAGTACCATTGAATGTCAAGGTTGGATATCCTGTTGGAGATTGCTAGGCAAAAGCAATGACAATTGTCTGGCAATTTGTCACTTAGAAGCCAAAGCCAAAGCCAGAATATTAATCCGGTCTTGCTGCATTGGACATGGACTGATTCTGTATTTGAAAAGTTGTATATAGTTTTGAACATTGCACAATCATCAGTGAAAATCTCCACCTCTGACCTAATGATGAAGCAGCTGAAATTGTCTGGGCCTTGGACCCAGCTACGAGTAACTCCTATACTGGTCAACCATTTCAATTGCATTACAGCGTGAACAGCCACAACCATCTCCCTATGTGCTATCATCGACTGCAACCAGCAGGGAGTTATCACCCCGGTTCCCATTGATAATCCGTTTCATGAGGCCTCCTTTTTGCCACACTCTGTTGAATGCAGTCTTGATGTCAAGGGTAGTCAGTTTAACCTCATGGAGTTCACCTGTTTTGTCCATGTTTGAACCAATACTATAGTGAAATCAGGGCCTGGTGGACCCCACTTATTCCTTTCCAAGTGCTGCAAGATTAGACCAGGACAGTAATTGGCGGAGTTACCTTTTGTCCTGTTTCTTGTATACAGGAGTCTTCCACATCACATTGTTAGGTAGCTGCCAGAGTTGTAAATATAACAGCTTGGCTAGGAGAGCAGCAAGGTCTGGAGCACAAGTTTTCAGTGCTATTGCTGGAATGCCATCTGCACACTTCGGTCTAGGCAGTATCCAATGCCTTCTGCCATTTAATAATATCAACACCCCTATGTTGGTTCTTTCAAGGTGTAGTGTATTGTGATCTAATCAGCTTTAATTATCTGCCATGTTGATCAGGTTTTGTTTTTATGATCCAGTTCTTCACCTTTAACTGTCCAAGGTATTGCTAATATACAATGCAAAGTATTCCAGGTATTATCGCGATCCGCACAGTAGTTGCAAGAAATAAAGATGTAAATTTTTAAACATTGAAAATTTCAGTATTAGATTAAGTTATGATATTTGAATTTTGTGTAACATTGGACTATAATTTGTTATAGCAGAGAAATTCCTTTATTAGTGTTGCACTTGCCATTTATTTGTAATGATATCTTACTTCACCAGTTGTTAAAAGTGAGCTATTGGCATCACAGTGAGGGGAAACCAGACACTGGGGACCTGTGTAAGTAACTGATGGAATGTGGCTTCTTGTATGTTGGCCCTCGTAACATACCGCAGAGACTCCAATTCTTATGGAGTGAGATTTGTAGAAGTTTATTAGCAAGTAATTATGTATCCTAATATGACATCACAGACTTGCATATAGTCTGATACTGTGCTTATTCATACATTATAGACATAGTTGACTGTCTAACTGACCCTAACTAACCAACCAATTGACTGGTTGATTCATTGACCAATCAACTAACTGTTTGACAGATTGAAATGGAGGCCTTTTATTATTAAAGCTGTTTATTGTGACTGTTACTGTTGTGATACCATCTTGCTGAGGTGAAAGTATTGTACCTTTGCGATCTGTACAAAATACAACAATAACTAACTGCTTATCTCTATAAACAGATTGAAGTCTTTTCCTTCTCAGTCTTTGAAGGATTAATGCAAGTTAGAATAGGTTAATTTGATACCTAATCAATTACAGAAGGAAAAAGAGAACAAAGAGACAAAGAAAAAGTTTTAAAGAAATTTTTTCCAATTGTAAAATATCCCGTGACAGACAGACAATTCCTGAAAGAATTAGATTACAAATGTAGTCGTTCATTTTCAATATCAGTGGTTAATTGGCAATATTTAACATTTTCATGTCAAAAAAATTCACTGGCTATTAGAAGTACAAATAAATACATGTGACTTAAATGGCTCGAAGACCGCTTGTATCATCATTTCACCTGGTTTTTGTGCTGAATTTAGATTGTCCACAGGGCAATATGATCCATTCAATTCACTCTCTCATAGTGAGTCAGGCATCAAAATGCTGTTTTCAAGAAGCAAACAACAGTGAAATATATTTCACAATGCAACATTTGAACTTATACCCATCTGCTTTAGCTTAAATTGCTGTGGCATTGGCGCACAAAATGCAATGATGCAATTAGCTTTACCACTATTTTGACAGGAAATTGTGGGTCAGTATTTATACAGTGGAACTGGTATGAAATCATAGATGTTCACTTTGTAGGTCATTTAATCTACAGCAATCCAAACTAATCCCACTACCCTATTCTGCAGCTTGATCTGGGACCAGATGTACAGCAGTAACTATCTCTTAACACTGTTTATCAGCGTTGACGGTTTAGAGAATATGCCTCATTTAGTGTTATCAGTGTACCCCATTGTGCAGTTACAGTACCTTCTTGTGCCTTCAATCACCATCCTACCATACAAGATTTTATTTGCATTCTTTCTTTCCATCCATACCTGCTTCTGGTGAGTAGCACTGCGCGACTTTGTTAAGTAAGGAAGGCAAATCAGAACCCTCTTGTGATCTGCAATAGAAATTATTTGGAATAATCAAAATCATTACTTCTGTTCAGAATCTCCCACTTATTTAGACACTGTCTGCATTAGAGTTCAAAAATTAGGGTTTCTGAATGTTATTTAGTTGTTTTTCTTGTTGGTTGGAGGAGGCATTCCAATTAAATATCCAGCAATTTAGCGAAATATCAATGCATAATTGGTTGATAAATATTCTTTGTTTCCGTAGCAGTGAATTGGTAACCTTTTCTACTGTTGCACTATTTTATACTATTTCCTTACCCAGAACTGACCCTCTCTTTCATTCTTTAATTCCGTTGTTCTTTACATTTCTTACTTAAATGCCTGTGTAATTAATTTTTTATGGCCATAATGAGAGACAGTTAACAGCTTTGAGAATACCTTCACTGGATTTCACTTGATGGTTCCAGTGGTGTGTGTTAGAGATTTGAGCAAACATAGCAGTGTAAAGCAATCACGAATTTAATACAGGAGTCAACTTTGTGAATGTTGTTAATCTATTATGTGCTAGTCTTGGTTTCAAGTAACAGAGGAGTACTGTTGTTGAAACCAATTAGATTGGTTTAGTGAAGTATTATATTCTATTTTCCGTCTTGTAGGTTCCTCCTGTATTTGATGCCCTAACCCTAATAAAATTAATATAGCATACCAACAGCAACTCACCTTAATATTTTAATTTTGGAAACATTCTGGGGAATTTAGGAAGCCTTGGAAAAGCATTCAGCAAATCAAAGAATATTTTAGAAGGATTGACCAAGAATTCAAAGAACTATTTTATGCAGGAGAAGATGATGCAGAATTTTATAAAGCAAATTTCAGATATTGGGGCTTTGGCAGCTGAAGGCATGGATGACAATGATAAGGTAAAGAACGGGAAGAAGGTGGAAGAAACTTTGTTCCTGCTCTTAAGAGACTGTGAGGAGTAACGCAGTGGGTCCACCTGAAAATGCCACAAGGGGCAAGTTGTGGTAGTCGTTCACAAGAGATCAAAAGATAACTTAGTGACCCATATGTTTAGAATTGAGTACCACGATCTGTATAAATTACTATTAGTGTGGAAGATGCTTCTGTTAGAATTAGCACAAAAACATATGTTCTTTAAATCATAATATTATAGCCTGACCGGGGTGTGTAGTTACAGCTTGATTTTTGTCTTGAGGTGTTATAAGTATAATTCAGTTGAAGTTATTTTTACTGATATCTTTTTTCATAAGGTATAAATTCCTTTCAGAGGATTTCTGATAGTCAAGATATTTTGTCTTGCTGCAGTTATTTGCCTGATAGGAAGTGTGAATTGATTATTTGATAGCTGCATGGATTCATTGGATAGTGGACTAAGTGTATCAAACTATAAAATGTCATGCTAGGATTGCAAGAGGAGCAATTCCTGTTTACTGTTCATTTTAATTTTCTGACTGCATTAGGAATACCTCAGCTGTTTTCCTCAAGTCATTTGATCACTATTCATTGTATGTGTATGTGATATCTTCATTTATGAGAATCGTAAGTGTTAAATTCAAGATTTGCTACAAATTGAGATGGATATTGAAGATTAAGAGTGTTAAAGATATTATGAAGCTGTGATATTTAATGGTGAATGAAAACTGAAAGAACTGCAGATGCTGTAAATTAGGAACAAAAACAAAGTTGCTGGAAAAGCTCAGCAGGTCTGGCAGCATCTGTGAAGAAAAAAACAGTTACCGTTTCGGGTCCAGTGACCCTACCTCCAGAACCCAGACTCGAAACGTTAACTTTTTTTTTTTTCCCTTCACTGATGCTGCCAGACCTGCTGAGCTTTTTCAGCAACTTTGCTTATACTTAATGGTGAGTTGCATTTGCTAGTCGAATATTAACTAGCAGCCTAATGTGGCTAATTAGGAATCTAGATGATGTGACTAACTCCAGCTTTGACCAAAAATGGATAAAAAGATTAATAGGCACAACTATAATATTTTAGTTATGTGATCTGACTGCAATAGTTTCCAATACAAAATGTTTCTGCACAGCATGTACTTGCATTTTAACCTTTTTTTAGTAATTTTATTAGTGAAATAGTACAGTGAAATGCAGTGATTTTTGGATTGTTGTGCTGAACTTCCTTGGTTACTCTTTGCTGGCTATCTGAGGTTAAATGATAACAACATGGTTTGTGAAAACTGTGGATATCAGCACCATGGAAACACAAGTAACATTGTACGTAAAAGGAAGTTGTCATTCTAGTTAACTCAACCAATTAGATGAGCATGTCAGGCCAGCAGAAGAACGTGAGCCAATCTAATAATTAGCAGTTCAAAAAGTGCAAGTCACTACAAAGACCAAGCAGCATCCAATAACTGCAAAACAAAAAGTTTCTTTACTGTCTGACCCATTACGAACTTTGGGGAAAGAGAAGGACTGAAAAGATTATGGTAAAATTGTTGTACGACTAAATGAAATAAATGTTCAGGGCTTTTACTTGTATTACATGCAAAGCAATTAAAATTAATGCAATAGATGACCTATTTGTGGTTAGCAAGTTCTGTTGACCAACACGGTGGTAGGCTGTTCCAGTACACACGTTTACTCTCTACGTAAAAATGCAGCCAAGTGACATGGTGTGTTATAACCTACAATTTTATAGCTCGTTGTTCCAGTCCATTTTGATTTGATATTATTATTATTATTAGGTGTTTGGTTTAGGGTAGTGAAATTAATGTTGACTCTACACTCTTAAGACTATTGCTTTCAACCAATTTAATGGAATGTTTCTGCAGATAACAACTATTGTACATTGACGTGAAATGTTTCACGTCAAACTGGTTATTCTGTATTCTAACCTATTGTAAGGTACTGCACCAGTAACTTAAGTACTCATTGTAATCTTGCCTACATCTGAATTCATCAATTGATCTGAACGTTGACTACCCAAATGACTTGACTTAGGCCAAATATCTACCCCTTTTGTAAGGAAGCACTTAAAGAAAATTTAAATTTAAAAAAAACTCTAATATTGTTGCCTTTCAGTCATATACACCGTGTTGCGGTACGGTCCCTGTAGCGCTGTTGTTTAAGCTCCACAGACTATAATACGGAATGGCAGTAAATGTTTTTATAGTGAAGGTTTTGCTGTGTCGGAAGGAACTTTGACCATATGTACAGTATTACAATACAAGATAATTACAAATGAAAATGTAAATAGAGCAAGTATTCATTTTGTAAAAGGTCTGTAATCACTGTTGTGCGACAACATGTGACATGCAATTGAGATACATTATGGGATATACAACCTGGAACCTGCACCATTTTGTGATGACCTTCATGCAAATCTAAGAGCAGATCCAGAGCTATTCTCATGGTCCAGTGAAAGTCAGTATAAGATTTCTGTTTCTGAATTTGCTACCTACTGTTTAGTAGCAATTTAATTAAAACACTGGTATTTAATTACCAGGGGGTTTTGCAGGGGAGCTTGGCTATTTGTGCACATATGCATGTTTTGAAGGTGTATTGTTGCTCAGCCTACAGTGGGCAGACTGATGAAATGGATCCAGTATAACTACAGCATTGGCACCTGCTCCAGCTCATCTGGGCAGAAGTGAAAAGGCTGGGATCATACTACTTACACAAGGGTAGTGGTGGAAATTTTATGGCAAAGTGTGATGAGAGGTCTCCAGGTGGAAGGATGGTCTCTCCAGAAGAATGCCTGCATCTGGACCCTTGTCAGAATTGCAGTCCCTTTTAATGCTATTGATTAATTCAGTCATCAGTTCATCCCATTGCCCAGTGAGAGCTGTCTCTGCAGTATTGCCAGGTTCTTGACGCAGCACTGAGCCTGTTTGACACTGGGAAAATCACAGCACTGGGGCAAAGTGACCCTTGACTGCCTTCACTATATGCCTACATTAGGGGAGATGGATTCTAATTTCCAAGTTAGCCCACCCTTCAAACAGTCACCCAGAGTTGGCACAGCTTGGTGAGCATGGCAATGGGGATTCAAGACTGGGAAAATTCATCCAAGTGTTTTTTTCTAACTGTTCATACATGCATCGGTTTACCTGCTTTTCATTGCAGCAGTCTGTATAGAACCATGTTGTGATTTATAAGGTCTAGGATTGACTTGTATTTCACACATGATTTATTGTTAAAATTTAGCATTATTTGAAATACCTGTTTAAAATTTGACTTTCACAACGTCAATTCCATCTGGCAGTCCCATTTTCCTGTTTTCTCCCTTTTATTTTGTTCCATTTAAAAACTTAGTCTTGCTGGAGTGTGGATCCATAGACACAGGCAGACCTAGTATCTTATCCAATGTCCTCACTTGCACTTGCAGTCGGACTTTCACCCCAAGCAATCAGAAATAGGAATCCTGACTAATTTTTAACCCTACCCTAGCTCAGGAGTGCTGAGGTGAATTGTAACAGTCTAGTGCTGCCCCAGTTAATGACAGCAGTAGATGGATCACTTGGCACAAACTAGGAGTCAAACTTGGAACCTTGGTAAACTCTAATAGTTAATTAATGTAATGAGGTTTAACTGTATTCTGAAATGTTTATTGTAAGTATTTATCTTGGTACCCAACAATTTTGGTAAATATATTAGCCACTCTCTCTGCATGACAAATGGGGAATACAAATGTGGCAACTTGCATCTCTGATTATTAAATAAAAGATAGCTAATAGACTTTTTCAACATGTGATTACTGTATTCAAATCCGCATAGTACATGTACGTGTACTTGAACATCGTTCTGTAATTGTTGGTAAAATGAAAAGCAGTGTGTGAATCCGTTTTTTTATTTTATTATGAGCTTTCTCTGTCTGAATTGCCACGTGGTGGTACTATGTTGAGTATAAATACAAGTGAAGAACACTTATTTGTGACCTTTGAACGCATCCAAGGCAGTTTCTGCTAAAATTAGTGCATGTGACAAAGCATTCTAGCCACACGTGCAAATAGGTGACAGTTTCTGTTGGACAATTGTTAATGAAATGCAACTACGTTAATTATGGATGATCTTTTAGTGTATGGTAACAGAGTGCAGAGAGGAATGCTTTATACTGAATAGCTCAGTGTCTTGAATTTGGAGAGGCCTTAGCCTCTAATAACTAAAACTCTGTGTGTTCCCTGCCCACTTTACAGCATTGTGCTTTTATAGGCTGCAGTATTGAATGATGCTACATCCCAACTCCCAAAAAGAATCAAGCTGGAGAAAATCACATAAATCCTAACCCCACCAAGGCACTAACAAATTGACGGTGTATAAATTGTGGAGTTTTGAGCTGGAATTCACTTCTAACCTCTCAATATAAAATTGTTAACCATTTCTTTGTTTTGCAAAACTAGTCCTCTGACAAAATCTGGCACCTGCTACAGCATGTAATCATGACCCACGTTGAACACCTAACACGTGAATATTGTCTAGCAGCAGCTGCTGGATAACAGTTGGGAGCGGGAGTATTCACTCCTTTCCCTCTGATTCTTTCCCAAAAAAATTATAAATTGCTATTGTGGGAGCTCTCACCTCAGATCTTCTTCTGTTCTGTGTGGCTGAATAATATGCTCAGTTTTCTTGCACCTACCTGTTCTTTAGGGATGAAAATAATCAGTGTTTTGCAAATTCTTCTTTTTCTGTGTCCAAGGGCAAATCTGACGCTCGGCTCTATTAACTCCATCGTGGGTAAGACATGGGGGCAAGTACCAATGCCAGGCAAGCCAAAATGGGAACAAGCTGTCCTGTGCTAGTAACACCAATCTGATCCAGATGGGCTGTCCAGTTTGGCCACTTACAACAGGACAAATTAATCTTGATGTCATTAATTCTTCCTGATGACTAAAATTTAGAAATGGTGAGGTGTCATACTTGTGACACTTTGTTTGAAACTGTTTGGAATAATCTCAAGAAACACAGGCTATTTACAGTTCAAATTGTTGATATGAGAGCTCAGCTCCTAATAACTAACTAACAGTTATTGGCGTTGTAACTGTGGCTGCAGCTCATCAAACAAATGGACCAAGGTCATTGTATAATAAACCATGTTGTTACTTATGAGTGATTATCTTTTGAAGGATGCAGTAGTGTTATTTTGAAATAACGTGGGAATTATTGCCTGCCCAACCTCTGAATCAATTCCTTTTATGACAACTTAGTTGATTATGTTGAGGACCATGAACCAAAGAGGCCCCACACCTGACTTATTTCAAGTCAGAAGGTTCAGAGTTCAAGGCAGATTCCATGACCTGAATGCAAAATCACAGCTAACGTCTCAGTGCAGACTGGAGTTGTCCAGTTAGCAATAAGGTGCCAAATCTGCCGATTTATGGGGAGAGCCCTGTCACTGATGCATGTTGTGTGCAGATCTGCACTACCAAGACAACAGTTCTGGTTTATGATTTCTGACTGCTAATTTTTAACCTGTCAGGATTGCTCAGTGAATCAAATGAAGACAGTGGGATCGGATTACTGCAAACAACCCAAGTCTCTGTTTCAGGCAAAGTTACCCTGGATTTTCACAGCAGGCACAAAACTGTTGAGTGAATCCACTAAAATACCAATGGTTCCAAGCCCAGCCTGCCCCCCCCCCCCCCCCCCCCCTTCAAAAGAAGGGGTTGAAACGATAGTTGTGTATATTCTTGGTCAGAGAGAGAAAATTAGGCACGATTCCTTCGGGGGTCAAAATATTTTTTGTCTCGAGGGCTTCTCTTGAGATTGTAACATGTACCACTCAACCTTCTCACTAACTCCTTTATTAGTGTAGTCCAATAGCAACATTATCTACTGTATTTGTGTTGGCACACTGGGTATTTGGATTCTTTCAGAAATAAAATTTGAATAATTCATCGGTATCCTCAACACTGATCAACTCTTTGTAAAATTTAAAGCCACAGTGCAAATGAAAGCATTAATTTCCTAGAAATCAAAGTGAAACCAGCCAGCGTTTAAATTGGTATAAGACAACATGCATTAGTTAGCAAAATGTTTTTTGCTAACAAAATAACTAACACACTCCTCTACATAAAAGAAACCCATCACCCTAAATACACCTTCCACTGACTGGTGACCTTACAGCTAATGCATTTATATCACCAATTCAGAAGCTAAAACATGCTTACTAGGCAATTATTACACTTTTCAATCTCCATTTCAGACTTAAATTTAGCAGTTAAGAGTAGTCCTTACAGTAGGACCAACTACATTTCTTCTCACATATAGAAACTATTGAACTGATAACTTTAAAACTAAGATTCCACATTCCACATTCATTTGCAGGGAATGTTTTTTCCTTGTATCCTAGTTAGCTGTGTTTTTTCCTTAATAGATTTAAAACTCTTCTCTCCAATTCAGCCTCCTCCCGATTTACCAATCTTGTAGCTTCTTCCTCCCCCACCCCCCACCATCTTGTTGCAGCCACCATCTCCTTCATGCTCATCTTGTGGCCTCCTAATCCCTACACAGATATTTCTGCCTCCTTGTTTCCCTCCTGCAACCATTGTGCAGCTCCTTCTCTGTCCACACCCTTCTCATATCATCCCCCACTGTCCTTTCTCCCAACAACAGCCATTTTGTAACCTCCTTCTTTCTATATACTGATTTCACTGTCTCCTTTTGTTTTTGCCCCTTTTTAAGTATGTTTATCTGTAAACAATATATCGCAAAATGTAATGGCAGATTTCACTGAAATTCTGGTGCACAGGTAATTTTTTTTATAGCCCAATGAATAACTAGTGAGTCTTTGGCAAATGTGTGGATATGAATCCTGGAATTTTTAAAACAACTTGTTAACGTTTGGTTGGGAGGACAAATTGACTTTTTCCTTTAGAATATTGAGTTGTTTTGTTTAGAATGTTGTGGGTTGTCTCAGCTGCTGTGGTGACATTCTTGACAGCTGTCAAAATGTAAGCAGAATTTTCAGAGCAGGTTGTTAGATTTCGATTGGCCTGAAGCCACCTCAGTGAGATGTATTCACCTGATTTAAAAAGATGCATCTTATGCACTTTGTAGCTACAAAACACCAACCAATTTAGGGAAAAGCCTCTCTGAAGAGCTACATAATTGTAATAATTACAGTTATTACAATTATGACGATGGTACACATTTTAATCAGTGCCCTCTTCACTTGCTCTCTTACTGTAGCCATTTTGGGGGAAAGTGCTCTACATTGAGGAAATCAATGCCCCTAGTAAATTTACTGATATAATGTCAGTAATCGTGTTTCCTCCTTCCAATCTCCTTTTTTAATATTTAAACACAGGTTGGTTTCACCAAAGTACTACACAGTAAATTCATTAGAAAATTTTAATCGCATTGACACTTCGATGGTATATTTTTCTTGGTTTATTTCAGGCATGGAAGAAGCGTTGGTTTGTGCTTCGAAGTGGCCGTCTGACTGGAGATCCAGATGTGTTGGAATACTACAAAAATGATCATGCAAAGAAACCAATCCGTGTCATTGACTTGAATCTTTGTGAGCAAGTGGATGCTGGACTGACCTTTAATAAGAAGGATCTTGAGAACAGTTATATTTTTGATATCCGAACAATTGACCGTGTCTTCTACCTGGTAGCGGACACTGAGGAAGAAATGAATAAGTGGGTTCGCTGCATCTGTGATATCTGTGGTTTCAATCCTACTGATGAGGGTAAGTGCTTTATCTTTGCCTGTTTCCAGCAAGTATTGCTTTTGACAGCATAAAATTCACCTTCTATTCGCACAGTTTGGCTCATAATAGAATGAAAGTATCGCATTCTGAAAATTCCATGACCATGTGACCTGACATCCTACTGAAATCTTGGCACAGTAGTTGCACTCCAACCTCTTGAATTTGAAGGCCATGCATTCAAGGCCCACTAAAGATTTGTGCACACAATGAAGGCTGACATTGCATTGCAATATTAAGGAGGATGCTCCAGTGATAGAGATGACATCTGTCAGGTGAGGGTTGTACCCACTCCGTCCACCTCACTCAGTCCGTGCACTGTCTCTAAATGATCAGACTCTTTATCCTACATCTGATACTGGATGAGCAGAATTTCCTTCATTGCACAATGAGATCCCAGTACAATTTCTACACACTATCCACTGACAATATCTTTCAGCAGCAGTTTTCAGAAGCTTGCAACCTTGCTGTCTCATTTTGAGCCTGAAATGAACCACCATTTAAACTGTCTGTTCCACTTCTGTACCACTGCCCTATTCTATCCCTGCTTCATCTCATCTTCAGCAGAAATACTCATCTGTGCTGGTATTGTTTCTAGACGTTATTATTCCAAAGCAGTCTTGACAGGGGTCCCATGATTTATCGTCTGTATGAAGGGCTTTGGGATGTCCCAAGGTTGTGAAAGGTGTTATATAAATCCAAGTTTATTTCCCTTTTTGGGAGTAAAAGGGAGAGAAAAGTCTTTAGTAGTTATCTAAGCGCAACTGGTATAGCAATCACACATGTGAGGTTGTTTCAGAAGAAGTGTCTCTGACAGTAACATTTAATTCAAGCTTTCTTTTGAGGGTTTTTTGTGAAACTTGGTGTAACTGGCAAAACGGAGTATCTTGATGGAAATGTTTAGTCTCTTGTATAAAAGGGCATCCAGGATGAGAAAAGTAGCTTTCTTCAACTAGTATTCGTTTGTGTGTTGGAATTGACTTTAATTTCTCTAAACTGATTTAGCATTGTTTGGAATTAGTTTTGGCTACCGGTATTAGATTTGTTTATTAAATTTGCGTTTTATTGATTTTCCAGGACGTTGCTAGCATTAGTGTGAGAGGCTAATGTAATGCAACGTGGTTTGTGTGTAGTTGCTCACTCGCTGTCTTCCCTCTAGGTATGAATTTCAGCCTGTAACAAAATATGGAAGTTTGAAACACCCCTGTGTTGCACCAAAACCAGTGTGTTTCGCAATACATCATTGAATGTGTTGAATGTTGGTTTTGCTTCCACACACAGATACTACTTGTGCAGCCTTTTCACAAGTTCACCCAACAAAGGTCTACATATAAAATATATTAAAATTTATTATCTGTCTTTCAGATGAGATGTTAAATGGAGGCATCATCTGTCCCATCAAGTAGATGTAAAAGATCCCGCTATTTTGGAGAAGAGTAGGGGAGTTACTCATGATGCCCAGGCCAACATTTATTCCACAGTCAATATCACGAAAACAAATTATCTTGTCACTGTCACTTGCCTGTTTGTGGGTGCTTGCTGTGCATAGATTGATTGATTGTAATTCAGAAATCTTTAATTATAAATCTTTGGGTTGTCCTTTGTGTGAATCCTTTGTGTCAATTCTTTAACCTGTCCTAGAAAGTAAAGATAGAGGTCTGGTTGATCACATTTTACTGAAACTGGCAACTATGCAGGCATTCATTCCATGCAGGTAGTTCCCTGCGTGCAGAAGGAGAGTTGTGTGTTTGCCATAGATGCACGCTTGTGCCAAAAGCCTGTTCATTTTGTGCAGCCAAACATTATTCATCCCTATTTGATAGGGAAACTATATTAGAGCTAACTACTCTCTCTAGATTGTGATAATGTTCTGTCCATTAGTAACAAGCAGATGTATTGGAAACCCATTGAGAACGAATAAAAACACAGATGCTTAAAAGTGCAGTGTACCCACTTAACCTTTCCAGTTTCTGATCTCATTTCCCTTTGTCCTGTCATGAAGCATCACAAGATAATCACCTTTCCACACCTCACTCAAAGGCCAGCTTTGTTTTGTGACTATATTAACTAACTTTTAATGAAAATATATACATCAAATATACAGAACTATATAGGAAATCTGGTTAAGTTGTTAATCAAGAACTCTCAAATT